GTGCCTAGGAATAGCACTAATGAAGGTTCAGACACATGCAAAGTATATGCTCTGCTGTATGTCATTGTGGCACAATAACAGAGTTCACAAAATTGTCCACATTTGATATTATTATGTTTAAAGTTTTTGGCATTTGAGGAAGTTCTGCTGTGTGGCATTGTGGGACAATAACAGTCCACAAAGTTGTCCACATTTGAGAATATTAGGTATAAAGTTTTTGGCATTTGAGGAAGTTTTAGAAGCTTCCTGTTCATCTTACATATGTAATAAATAATGTAAGTTATGATTAGATATTGTTGGTACTTTAACTTTGAAAGAAAACCATCTTATTACCTCTTTTTCAAGTTTTATTGAAAGATTGGACATTTAATTGAAAACTATTTGGACACTGCAACACAAACTTTAAAAAAAATTATAATCTACAGTTCTTACATGAATAAAGCAGTATTCTTACCAAGTAGCCAAAGTAAAATGCAGACATTTTACTATATGCTGAAGCTGATTAAGATGTATTATTTATAACTCCACTTTCAAATATTTTATTTATTAGTACAGTCTTACTGTTCTCAATGGCTAACTTTATAATAAATATTGTAAGTGTTTAACTACATAGAATCACTTAGTGTATATTAAGTATATATTTAAACATATAAATATAAATAAATCAGCCCATGACTTTATATGTTTATATTATAAATACTATAACAAATATTATAAATTTGAACCTCTAAAATTTACACTAGTCAAATTATCTGGATTTGTATGAGATTTAATTGGAAAAAAACCCTAGAAACCCATTAAGCAAATTAAAACCTATATTTAGGAAAATAGTCTTGCCTAAGATGTACAAATTGTATCCACGCTTGGTTGTTATCCAGCACAAGTCTTGCTGCTTACCAAAATTGATTTTATTAAAGATTGCTTATAGGCTGAGGCTGAAGGCGTGCCATTATCCTTTACCAATATATAATTACAACATGCCGTCCTTTGTTAATCTGACACTTATTTGAAGAACTGAACTACCTTGGATTCTTAGGTAAGAAAGAGTTTTAATTTTAGTGCCTCAGATTTTCCATTGCTGCTTTTACATGGGTGTGTGAGATTCAGAAATATGAGAGTGAAGTAAAATAAAAGATGCTTTATAAATACATGGAATTAGGTGCCTGCAGGGGAAGCTACACAGCAGCTAGCCAGCATTTTAATTCGATGTTTCTCAGCTGTATTTTATTTGAGGTGTTAGAGTTGTACTTTTTTGTTTTCCAATGTTTATAGACTGAGCTTGATTTTCATATCTACTTGAATTCTCATTGATTTTGTGGCTGATCAGTCTCCCAAGATGTCATTTACTTGAAGTTAAGTATTGATATTTATGATTTGAATATATTTAACAACTTTATAGTTAATAACTTTAAATTCTCTTCTGGTGAAAGTATTCAGTTTGGCCAGTGTCTTCTCAGTCAGTGCTCTAATTTAATACAGTGTTTACTGCTAAATCTAATATTGTTTCTAACACATTATAAAGGTCAGAACTTATATAAATATACTGTAGTTTGTGATAGTTTTGGAGATTGGGCTACAGTGGCATTTATTAGTGAAGTAAAAGATCAGTCCATAAGAAAAGATGAAGTGATACTTTATTTAGTCCATATATTTTTAATGGACAGTGGTCTCCACTTTCTAAGTGAGGATTTTTCATTTTTCTAAGTATTCTTAAGAGAATCAGTTTTGGACTTTTGGTTAAACATAGAGGTTAGAATAAATATGTTTATTTCTTCCTAAATTCACTAAATTGACAGAATAAACAATAAAGGAATAAAGAGAATGGAAGAGGCAATATAACATCAGGCTAGAGAAGTGAAATTTTAGAAATGTTAGAAAAGAAATGCATAAATTATAACCAACTTAGAGCAGTTTTGATGGAACTTAATATTTGATCATTATATTGAGTTACAATTTATTTAATTATTCCTTAATATTGAGTCATATATATAATTTTTTTAGTGTCTAATAATGGGTTATCATAATTAACCATTCATCTATCAATTACCATTTAGTTTTTTCAGCTTTTCACTGTTACAATTGGCATTCCATGTATCAGTCTTAAAATATTTTGGGTTTTTTTCAGAATGGAATGACTGAATCAAAGTTTATACTTTTTATGAGTATTGATCCATGCTGCCAGATTGCTTTGCAAAGCCATTTTTATTATTACCATCAATGTGTGGAATTTCCCATTTCACTACTTCCTAGGCAGCATTGCATTTGCCTTAGGATGTTCAATCTGGGAAGGGACACATAGCCCTTGCATCAATTGCTTGTCTGTGGTGCTGTGGGAAAGTGTGGCATGACATGAGATGACAAATTTTACCAAGTGGAGCTTAGCTGTGTGCCTTTACCACTGCCACCTTATAATAAAGACAGATGCTGTGAATTTAGAGGAAGAGGTGATTTCCCTTATTTACCTGGGGTGTTCAAGGAAGGATTCATGTAACAAGTAGAATTTGAGCTGTGTATAATGAGGGAAAGATTTATAAAGAAAACTTTGCACAGACACATGAGAGGTGTATCAGTCTGGATCAAACCAGAAGACAGAAGCCACATAGTAACTAAAATTGTTAGTTTAACTTAAAGAATTATTAGGGTATGATAGGAGAAAAACTATGAAGTCACTCTATAAAGAGAACTCCAAAAGGTACCCTAGGGCTGAGGAAAAGTACCCAGTGAAGGATGGAATTGAAATGAGATTCAGACCTCATTTAAAGTGTGGCTATAGCCCATTGGATGGTAGAGAAGTTTGCTGGGTTGTCTGAGCCAAAGCTGGTGCACACAGTGTCAGCGGGTGAGTTAAGACTGATAGGACAGCATGCAGAGGGAATCAGGGCAGTGCAGCAGGGTCACAGTAACAACCCTTGGGGTGCAAGTGAGTTGAGGTTGGCTAGTGAGTAGAAGGAGTTGGAGCACCTCCAACTTTAGATACCACTGGAATTACAAATTGGAGAGGCCTTCCTGTGTAGCAATCTAGAGCACTGCTGTGTACAGTTTGGGGCAGGGCAATATACCAAGCTGCTGTGTGGAACAAAGGTCAGGTGGCTGACTGGCCAAGCTGGTGCATGTGGGCTGAGGAGAGGGGATGGGGAGTAGCCACCTGGTCTGGGGCTCCTGGATATGGTGCTGCTGCTGCCTGAGTAGAGAGCTGGAGAAAGAAAGCACACAGCAGCTAGCCAGATGCTGGAGAAAGCTTTCCCCTGTAGGCACCTAGTACTAGAGCAGTGTTGTTTTTCAGCCTTGGCATTATTGACCTTCAGGGCTGGATAATTATTTGTGGTGGGGAGCTGTCCTGTGTATTGTAGGATATTTAGCAGTATCCTTGGCCTCTATTCACTGTATTCCAGTAGTTCCCCAAGTTGTGACAATGGAAAATAGCTCCAAATACTGCCATATGTCCTCTGAGGGCAAATTATCTCTAGTTGTGAACCACTGCAATAGAGAAATCTCACAGCGGTGGAACAGTGGAGGGGTAAAATATAAGCTCTCCAGAAACCTGCTGAGAAAACTTCCTTCTGCAAAGCCTCTCCAGTGCACTCTATTGACAGAGCTTAGCATCATGTCAACTGGCAAAGGAAAAATATTTTAAAGGCCCAGATCCACTTTTCCAGATAAGACAATGAAGGATGAATTTGGAGTAGAGAGGCAATAAACTGACAACTGTACAAAGTGCAGTTATAGAATTAAATATGGTTGGAGAATTAAATATGAGCAAAGTTGTAGAAGCAGAAAAGCATAGGGGCACTAGGGAAATTCAAGGACAAGAAGACTAAAGTACAAGGCTGATGTAAAGTGGTAAGAGGAGAATAAGCTAGAAGGGCCCTTTGAATCTTAACTCTGGAGTGCTTTGAGTGAGTGGAGGAGAGGGGAAGAGAAAGACAAAGACCAATGAAGGTTTGAGATTTGGTGCTGTCAATAGAGGAGGAAGGCAGAGGCAGCGGTGGAGGAGTTATAGAAATAATTGGGGCCTACATTTTTGCACATAACAGATTACTCAGGAAATGGTTTGTGATAGTATATCCTGGGGTTTTTTTCCACCTATCCATTTCATAATTTAATGTAGTGCTTTAATACATAAAATATGCTTATTGGGGCCGGATGTGATGGCTCATGCCTGTAATCCCAGCACTTTGGGAGGCCGGGGCGGGTGGATTACCTGAGATCGGGAATTCGAGACTGACCTGGCCAACGTGGCAAAACCCCATCTCTACTGAAAATACAAAAATTAGCCAGGCATGGTGGTACATGCCTGTAGTCCCAGCTACCCAGGAGGCTAAGACAGGAGAATTACTTGAACCTGGGAGGCAGAGTTTGCAGTGAGCCAAGATCATGCCACTGAACTCCAGCCTGGGCGACAGAGGGAGACTCCGTCTCAAAAAAAAAAAAAAAAAATATATATATATACACACACACACACACACACACACACACACACGGATATGTATATATACATATATATACACACATACACACACACATATCCACACACACACAGAATTTGGGACAAGAGAAGAGTAATACGAGGAAATAAGAGACTATAGGGAGTTCCTTGTCCCTCTTACTCTTCTATGGGGAGAATGCAAGGGCAAGCCAGAACCTCTGCACTTTCTCACCGGGTGAAAGTAGGGGAACATGTCTCATGGTAATGCACAGAGCTAAAAGAGAATTCCAGCAGAGGGAAAGTGGAAGTTACGGTTTTAACTCAAACGCCTCTATAGTCTTTTATTTTGCCAAGGATATGTCTCCTCCTTTCTAAATACTCTTGTGGTTTGTTTTGCTTGTCTTGCAATCTTATAATCCAGCATCACTGAATGGTCTTAAAGTTTCCCAGATGTCCTTGTGGCATTTCCTTCTAGGTATATTGAAATTTGCCCTTTTTTATTCTTGAATTTTGTCCTTGGCTCAAGGTTTTACATTTTACTGACTCTTCATACTACTTTTCTCCCCTTATTTAGAAATGGACTCAGAACTCAAGGAAGAAATTCCTGTGCATGAGGAATTCATTTTGTGTGGTGGAGTCGAAACCCAGGTTCTAAAATGTGGGCCCTGGACTGACCTCTTTAATGATCAAAGTGTCAAAAGGCCTAAGCTGCTTATTTTCATTATTCCTGGTGAGTATAAAAGTCTGGATGAGGAGACATTTTGTAGATACTCATAACTATGTCTGATTTTAAAGTATAGAGAATTTGGTAAATATAGAAAACCTTGGAGAAGGAATTAAAATCGCTCGGCCCATTGTTAACAACCACCCTTAATATTTTGATGGCTGGACTTTGTGTTTTTCTTCTATGTATTTACATTATGTTGTCTGTTATGTGTGTGTGTATTTGTGTGTGTGTTTGTGTCACAGTTGGAAGTATATACAAGATATGCAGTTTTGCAATGTGGTTTTTAAAGCATTTCTTAATATTTAAAACTTCATCAATATTTTTGCCAGTTTTCTAAACTTTTTCTGCCTCATTTCAACATGATTATATGTTTATTATAGAATATTTGGCTGGGTGCGGTGGCTCACGCCTGTAATCCCAGCACTTTGGGAGGCCAAGATGGGCAGATGACGAGGTCAGGAGAGACCATCCTGGCTAATGTGGTGAAACCCTGTCTCTACTAAAAAACAAAAAATTAGCTGGGCCTGGTGACACATGCCTGTAGTCCCAGCTACTTGGGAGGCTGAGGCAGGAGAATTGATTGAACCTGGGAGGCAGAGGTTGCAGTGAGCCGAGATCACGCCACCATACTCCAGCCTGGGCAACAGAGCGAGACTCCGTCTCAAAAAAACATTTAAAAAAATAAAAATTTTTAAAAAGTAAAAATTAAAAATTAGAATATTTATTCTGATGTTTGGCAGCTGAGTAACTTTTGCTAGATCACTGTCAATAGAATGTTAGGGACAGATGCTTGAGCAATGGCAGGTATTCGAAATGCATTTTAAATTGTGAGTTTGAACATACATGTTTATTCTTATTCTGTGAACTGTCAGTTTGAAACCCTTGCCCATTTTTCAATTGTGTTTTCAATGTTTTCCTTATTGATTTTCAGTTGATTCTTACACAACTGTAAAATTGTGTTATATCTGTCATACATGACAAGAATCTTTCCTGGTTTGTCTTTTGACATCATTTACAATGTTTATTTGGTTGTATATAAAGTATCATTGTTATGTGGCCAAAATGCTAAGTCTCTTCCTTTAAGACTTCAGGGTTTTATGAGTTTCTTAGAGAGGAACTTTCCTCTCTAAGAAGGAAAGTTGGCTTTCCTACTCCAAGATTATAAAACAATTCTGCCATATCTTCTAGTGTTTTTACAGTTTCATTTGTGATCTTGAAATTGATGCATCTAGATTTTAAGGGCAGGGACTGAGGAAGGGATCTAGTTTTCTTCTCCCTCTCCTTTGATGGCTTATTTCATGGTCCATAACCATTTATTATACAATCTGCCTTTCTCCTACTGGCTTACAATGCTGTGTCGTAAAGTAGGTTATCCTGTGGCTGGGAGTCTCTTTCCATGCTTTTTGCCTCTTCATGTGTTCTTCATGTTTTTTAGTAGTTGCAGTTTTATGATACTTTTACATATGTTTTGGAACTTGTTCATTTTTATTCTTTTCCAGAATATTCTTTAGCTTCTTTTCTTTTGGCTGCAGAATATATTTTTTGGCTTCATTAGGAGGAAAAAAAAAAGCTTAAATGATCTTTAAAGTCAACTTTCCTAAAATTGATCTCATAAAGACAGAGAGTAGAATGATAGATACTAGAGACTGGGAAGGGTGCAGGGCTGGGAGGAGGGATGAAGAGGTAGGTAAACAGGTACAAACATACAAGTTAGATGAAAGGTATAAGTTCTATTGTTGGAACTTATTTATACCAACAGAATTGGCATAGTCAGCAGAGTAGACTGACTATAGTTAACAGTAGTGTCTTGTATTGGTATAAAGTAGCTAGAAGAGAGGCCTTGGATTTTTCTCAACACATAGAAATGATAAATACTCAAAGTGAATGTACTAAAACACCCAGACATGATTGTTACATGTTCTATACAGGTAATAAAATATCACATGTACCCCATGAATATATAACATAAATATCAATATATTTAAAAAATAAATAATAACCAAAAAAATCAGCTTTCCTAGTTCCAACAGATGTTCTCAGAGGCAACCACTTTTAACACTGGTATATTCCTGTGATATTTACTCCACATTCCTTTATGTTTTATGTTTTATTTATTTATTTATTTATTTATTTTTTGAGACAGTGTCTCACTCTTTTGCCCAGACTGGAGTACAGTGGTACGATCTCAGCTCACTGCAACCCTCTACCTCCTGGGTTCAAGCGATTCTCCTGTATCAGCCTCATGAGTAGCTGGGATTACAGGTGCCTGCCACCATGCCTGGCTAATTTTTGTAGTTTTAGTAGAGACACGGCTTTACCATGTTGGCCAGCCATGTCTCGAACTCCTGATCTCAAGTGATCTGTCTACGCCAGCCTCCCAAAGTGCTGGGATTATAGGCGTGAGCCATCGTGCGTGGCCTTTACTCATTTCTAAATGAAATACTTGTATTTCTTCTTCTTGAGTTGTTTTTTGTTTTGTTTTGAGATGGAGTCTCTCTCTGTCGTTTAGGTTGGAGTGCAGTGGTGTGATCTCAGCTCACTGCAACCTCCGCCTCCTGGGTTCAAGCAATTTCCCTGAGTTTTTTAATATTAGATATTATCTGTTATCTTCTTCCATGAAAGAAAAAGGTTAGCTTTCTTATATTTTCCCTTCTCCATACACAGTCATATACCCCTCCTTCTCTATCTTCCTAGTATGGGAATATTGCAGTTTTTTGTTAGGTCAATATTCAGTGTTTTTATTATTATGACTATGTATTATATTATGTATATTGTATTGTATCATATTATACATAGCTAAGCCTATAGGGAATTATGCATGCTTTTCCTTTCTTATATATTTTTGTTTGTTTTCCCTGGGTTAATGATGTTCTGTTTTTTGTTTTTGTTTTTTTTTTGCTTAGTTTTTTGTGCTTCAATCACTCATTTATCCTAGAACTATTCTCTAGAAGTGAAAAAAAATTCCTTTCAATGCATTTGAGGCATCAGTCAGTTTTCAGAATGCTCTGTCCTTTGGTTCCTGTCTGGACTGATTGCTCCCCAGGCCTGCTGTACAGTTGCCATCCTGGGGACTTCTGTCACTTTCTCCCGGCTTGGATCTCCCGTTTCTCAAATCCCACATTTTTATCTTTCTTAGTTTATTCTCTTGTTTTTGGTAGAGCGTGCATCTTCTAGTAGCTTCCTTAGAAGAGGTACAAGAGAAGTAACACGGCATGCTGGAAAGTGTCTTAGACTCTAGGTTGGAAATAATTTTTCTATAGGAGGAAAATGGAGGGCATTAATCATTGTTTTCCAACACTCAGAGTTGCTTATAAGAAGTATTGATATCATTTTCTGATTTTCGCCTTTTGTGTGTGAAGCTTCTCTACCCACGTTTTGGAGACCTTTTCTTTGTGCTGAGATTCTGAAATTTATCAATGAAGCACATTGGTGTGAGTGTTTTTTCATACAATGTACTTGGGTTTTGGTGGGCCCTTTTAAGCCAGAAACTCATTTCATTCTAATAGCTCTTTGTTTTTCTTTTCTTTTTTGTAGTCTCATGTTTAATGGATGCAATATCATTTTCTTTTCTTTTTTTTTTTTTTTTTTTTTGCATTTTAAGAATTTTCACTGTGTTCCTTTTTTTTTGTTTGTTTGCATTAGTGTTTAGTTTTCCTCAAATGCCTGGCAATCCTTGACTATCCATTCATGTTTAAGAGGAAGACAAAAAACAAAATGGAAGCTTTGTACTCAGAGCTGGGGCTTATCCAGAGGTGTGTCTAGGGTAATTTGCCATCCTAGCTTGCCGAGGACCAAGAGGTTTTCTAGGACATAAGACTTTCAGTACTAAAACCATGACAGTCTCAGGCAAAACAGAGGGGTTGGTCACCCTAGGTGGGCCTCATTCTAAGGTGATCGAGTAAGGACCCAGCATTTCATTAAGGGATTTCCAACTTTGAGTGTCTGAAAGCTCTTTCTTTTATTGTTCAGTTTTCCTGGGGAGGAGTCTTTCAGGCTCCTGTTTGAGGAATGGAAACCTGTCTGTTAATGTTCAGAAAGGAACAGGGGAAAGGAGGTGTTGGGAGTTTCAGTGTTTGATTATGCCTAGTCCAACCTCTTCTCAGTATGGTACTTCCATTCTTAGCTGGACTAAGATTCCTGATCCAGAATTTCTCTTTGTTTTAACCACTTCTGGGAATAAACTATTCTTCTGCCAGGATGTAACAGTCTTTCTGGAAGTCAGTCCAGCAGCATCTATTAAATAAAAATACACGTACTTTTCCAGTAGTAAAGGAGAGTTTGAAATTATAGGCATGGCAAGTGCTGGTTTGATGGAGCAGAGATTGGAATAGCATATAGCATAGGATAGAGAAAATAAGTAGAAACATTATCTTCAACTCGCGAGGGGATATCCTTCTAAGGCTAGAAAGAAGGAGGTGAAATTGGTTACTAAAATGAAGAAGTGTAAAGGCATATCAGAGGGAAATGAGGTCTCCTGCTTCCTGACCACTGTTTTCTCTGTTGACAGTTAAGATCATGTTTTGAATGCTAATCATTTCTAGCTCATGAAAAGATCTAGGCCTGTTGTTCTTAAAGTTGGTGTCAGGATCAGAAGTATTGCTTGAGAACTTTAAAAATGCAGTTCCTGGGCCCTATCCCTGACCTTCTGAACCAGAAAGTCTGGGGGTTGGGCAATCAGTGTTTTAACAAGCCCTCCAGGGGACTGTGATATGCATACCTGATCCAGGGTGGAGTCATGGGAATGAGTTGTTTGAGTTTAATGTAGGTGAAGTTCTTTGGATTTGATCATAATAATGATCATGGGACAAAGTTTTTGACTCAGTCAGTCTAACTGGATTTTGAAATGTCCTGACGTGACATGACAAGTGAAACTGTCATTTAAGGGTCAAGGCTTTCAGGCAATGTGTGAGTGACTAAAAAGTTGATAGATGGAAATGGATGGCTTGAGTCTTAAAGGAGAAGAGGTTGTTCTAATAGTGAGGTGAAATAGTAAGTGGGACAGA